CTGCGTGCAGCGGTGTCCTCTGGCGGGCACGGGGAGAGCTGCACCGACCACCCCGGCCTCATATACGAATAAAAAAACCCCAAACAAACCCCCAAGTTATTTGCCAAAAGCGTCCCAGGGCCGTTTGAGGAGCAGGACACCGTATCGCCTCCCACAGGGCATCCCATAGCAGCCGGGGAGGGCTGTGGGTTTCGCAGGGTGCTCCTTACCCGCCCCCAGGAACAAGGTGGACCAGAGATTAACGTTCAGCATCATGTGGTTGGAACCCGTCTGGTAGTGAGCTCTCATGTGGTCCTGAGATACACCAGTCAGCCCGTCCAAGGTCAGCGACAGCAGCTGAGGAAAGAGATAAGAGACAGCAAAGAAAAACCCTTCGCTCTTTATTGCTTCTCTATGGGGAAGATCTTGAGCAGTCTCCCCTTTTTTTCACATCCCCATCGCCCACCAAATGGCAATTTTGTGGCCTCAAAACCTATCTAAGAGGGCTGGGCCCGGACTCACGCGCTGATCTCATACCACAGCGTAAGAGGGCACCCTCAAACCCAGGTGTCCTCCTGCGGAAGCGTTTCCACGCCAGCTTTAGGGTACACTTGAGGTACAAAGGACGCAGCCTTATCTGTGATGTCACTGCTCGTTCCTCCTCACCCCCGCCAGGGTTATTTGTGCCTCGGCGGTGCTCACCAGAAGGAGTTCTCCGTAGCCAAAGACGTGGTCATCGCTCCCAGCCCCCTTTTTGGGTTTGTACAGGAAGAGGGCCACTCCTGCGACTATCAAGAGGACGCAGAGGTACTTGGCCGGGGGATACTTCTTCCGCAGCAAAGTCACTCCTAAAAGCATGACTGTAAAGAAGCAACATCACAAACCGCTCCCAAAACCCTCTCGTGGGATTTTAACTCGGCCCAACTGAACAACGCGCAGGCAAAACGCCGCTTGCACGTCCCGCGGCAGAGCGGGCTCCTTCGACAACTGAGGTCCCGGTGGAGGGCACGAGAAATCCACACAAACACAGAAAAACCGTGAAATTTGCTTACCTGGAATGGGCTTACAAGATTTGCCGAGGACCTATAAAAAAAAAAAAAGACCGTATTAACTCCCTGCCTACCATCCCCTGCCTGCTGCGGGAGAGACGGCGGCTATATGAGCGTGACCCTACTGGGTCAGTCCGCCCCGACGCGCCCCTCCAATAAAAACCACAAGATGCTTCAAAAAAAAAAAACAACCAAAAAACAAAAGCAGACAAAAACCCCGCCACAGGGCAAGGGCTGCATTAACAGCGAAGGTTTCGCAACCCCTCTCCAGCTCTCCAACATTAGCACCAATTCCCATCATTTCTGGGGATTGCCAATCCCTTTCTGGAACGGTCCGAGCTCTCTTCGCCCCCAGCGCTGACTCAAACACACTGACGCAGCCCTGTAAAAACGCGGCTACGGAAAAATAAGCGTCAAAATCAGTTTCCCTCCACGTCGTTTACACCTGGTTGCTCCCCAGCGTTAGCTCCCCCAGCACAGCGCCCCCCGGGGGGTGGGGGGGGGGGGGGAGGAGCAGGGTGCTAAGCTCTACGTTGACGCCGCCTCCCCCTCGCCCCCCCTGGCTCCACCTGAGTCGGGTAACTGACGAACTGCAGGGCCGAGTTGCTGGAAACCATCGCGCCCAGATAGGAGAGCGAGCAGGCGGCGTAGAGCCAGCTCCGCGTGCGGTCCGCCTTGACGGCGTCGAAAAAACGGATCACTGGAAGGAAGACAAAGAAGAAGAAAAGTCAGGAGAGGCGCGAA